GACGGCTCATAGTAACTGGTTATGTTGCCATGTATGAGTTGCGCAGGTGTTCCCAGGTCGCGTGCGCGGGAGCCCACTCCGTCTTGTAGGGACGAATGCCAAGGTGCTCTTCAGGTGACGGATTTCGAAGAAGAGCGGTATACGCGAGGAGGGATTTGCGGTAGTATTGATGCTTCTCCTGGATGGTGCCTTTCGAAGGAAAAGGTAGGCTTCCGTCGTAGTACATCCAGATCTGAGCAGTTGTCGCGAGAAGCTCAAATTCGAAGCTCCACGTGTAGAAATCCTTGCCGTCAAAAGGAATTGAGGTCTTTAATTTTGAAGTTGATACAAACTTGGTTTGCATAGAAGCGATTTCTGACTGTGCTCGTTGTGGGTTGTCTTGTGCAGGAGCTGAGCCTTGACGGTTGTCAAAGGTGAAAGACCTCTCGGAGTTGACGCGGCGGTCTTCCCCAGGTAGAGGGAGTCCAGCAACTCCTCTGGCGTAGCTTGAGCCGTCAATGCTCATTGCTTGATGGCTCTCAAGGGCGTTGATGCGTGCGACTAGCTGCTCAACGACAGCGGCGCTGACGGAGGTCACCGCTGATGGCGCATTAGTCGTTGCTGGTGGTGGGCCCGGTGAGTCTGCAGTAGCTTTCCCTTTAGGAGCCATGATATTGCAGACTTAGAAATGTGTTGAGTAAATTGTCAAATTAGGAGACTTGGGAGAGAGGCCTCGTTCTCCTCCAATTCTGTACGTCGACAACAAGGCCGCCATCGCCTTGTGTGAGGAGCACAGACTGGAGCACAGAACGAAGCACATCGCTCTGCGTTACTTCCCGGCTTGAGAGTTGCAGCAGCGGGGTCAGCTTCGCCTTGCACACGTGGCCAGTCGAGCCAACACTGCTGACATATTCACCAAGGCACTTCCGTCTGGTGATCATCAGCACTTTTGTACTTTGTTGGGCCTTGTGCCTACGTTTCCACACTTGCTGTAGACTCTGCTTGTACTGTGATCTGTATAGATATATATACATATACATATACATATATATATATTCCTGCATGCTTGCTCTTGCTAGGTAGAGATTACTGTGCTGCTGTTTCTGCATATATATCTCTGCATGTGATCTGGCATTTTGGCCATTGCTTGTGCTCAGAGTGTGTCGGTGACGTTGTGATCCACCCTGAGCTTGTTCTACTCTATTTGACTGGTCTTGTGACCCCTTGTTCTCCCCCACTTTGCCTATGGGGGTGTGTCAAATTACATATATATTTAGAAAGCTTGCTTTCTAATAATTATCATTTGGCATCGTTCTCATTTCAACTGGCAAATTGCAGCATGCACCTCGAGCTAGACAATATAAGCGCTAGTACATGTCCTGATACTTCCTATCAATCATTCGTCAAGCTATCAATCCTAATAGGTGTGCGCTAACCCACATTGTACCACTTGTGTCCTCCTGTGTAAGCGGCGGCCTTGATGTCCATCGGTGTTGGGCGGGGGGTGGGAGAGTTGCATGAGCCGTTTGAAAAATGAGAGACGTGGGTGGAGGGAAATGAACTCCAACCCACGATTTGTAGTTGGAGATGGGCGTTTAGCGCGCTTCGACGATGCCAAATTCCCGTTACAGTCAGCTGCGCTTTCGAAATACGTAATTTTAAAAAACACTATGTGTGTTTAAAAATTATCATATTTAGAAAGCTTGCTTTCTAATAATTATCATTTGGCATCGTTCTCATTTCAACTGGGGTCTCTGAGACATGGGCAGCGGGGGTTTTCGATGACGGACGAGTGCCTCTGCGTGCTGTGCTGAAGAAGGGGCGTAGGCCAGATCTTGCAGCTGGCGGGAGGCGCTGATGAGATGTTCGGCGTTGGGCGTGACGTACATCTCCTTCGCTGTATCGCTGCGCCATCTGCCCAGTCGTTTGAAGATTCTGTCCGGCACGCCGGTGTTCGCCGCAGCAGTGGCTGCTCCTTTGCGAAAGGAGTGAGTGCTCAGCTACTGTTCCCCTAGTCCGATCTTCCCAAAGGCTTCTTTGCACCAGTTCCGGATCGTCGGGTAGGACGGCGACCTTGCTTGGCCTTGTAGTGAGCCACGTCCAAAGATGCGAATCAGCGGCCCTGCGGACTGTCGGTCGTATCCCGCGAGTTGGATGAGCCGTCGGGTGCAGCGGACAGGGCAGAAGGGATCATGAGTTGCGGCGATGGGTATCCATGTGCCCCTTCCAGCTTGGTCCGTCTTGGAGTACGGGATTAGGATCCACATGACCTCACTGTCGAACTGGATGTCTTGCCACTCGATGGCAATGAGGTCCGAGTATCTTAGGAATCCAGTGTACATGAGGATAGGGATTAGCCCCTTTTGGAACTCCCCGGGGTTGTCGGACTGCAGGTAGCTCGCAGACATGTCGTGGACCTGTTGCAGCGAGACAGGCTCCTTCACTCGTGTGGGGCGAGGACAGTGTCGTTTCGCGAAGTCGCGTACTTGAGTGGTGAATGGGCCGGTCGTTGGGCATGTGCTCCCAGTCATGCGGTGTGCAAAGCTCACCGCTGAGCATGTAAGTTGTACCATGGGCAGTGTGGCTCTGTGTTGGATAGCGTACACCAGGTACAGCGCGAGGGTCATGTCCGACGTGGGAAGGAATGGGAGGTTGACCTTTGCACAAAATGCTCGAAACTTGACCCAGTATGGCTCGTATGTTCGGATCGTTGAATCGGCCCGAGACTGTGAGAGCATCTTTAATAGTTGGACTTGTAGCTTCGGTAATACGTCTGCGCGAAGGCGTGCAGGTTGGGTTAGTCGAAGACCACTCGTAGTGCAATGATTGTGCTATGAGGCAGTCCTATGCCTGAAAAGGCAGTGCGGTGCGTTCCTACTGCTAGGCATTGGCTGCCGTGCGTTATGGGAATGTGCGCTCGGACGTGCGGGGCCCAGCTAGGTGGGGAGGGTTGTAGCAGTGGCCACCAGTTTGCCCCCGTCCAGTGGGGGACGATTAGGGTGAATGATGCATTGGTGCGTTGTGCGTGGCGGATGACTGCCGGGATCAGTTGGGGTGGTGGGAACGCGAAGCCATTCTCGTTTGTCCACGAGCATGAAAATGCATCAACCACGGTAGCCTTGGGGTGTGGGATCTTCGAACAGAATCGTGGTAGCTGCGTGTTGTGATGGTTGGCGAAGAGGTCGATTGAATGCGGTCCCCAACGGCGATCAAGGATCCGGAACCATGGTTGCTTCAAAGAGTAATCATCCTGGTCGATCAGCTTTGACAGCTCGTCAGCATGGGAGTTAAGCTCTCGCGGGATCCATTCGACGATTAGTCGAGTGCCGAGCTTCATGCAGATACTGATAATGTCCTTGCAGGCGGTGGTCAGGTCGGGGGTGCGGGAACCGCCTTTGCGAAGGATGAAGAAGACCCCTTGGTTGTCCACCCTTACGAGCACGTGTTTTTGTTGGACCTTGTTCGCATACGTTCGGATGGCCCAAAGGACACCCTCGATTTCTCGTCGGGTGCTGGACGTTGCTTGCAGTGGTGCTGGCATGGCTGCACTGGCTTCTTCAAGTTCGCCAGGGAAGGTGAGCAAAGTGGCACCCCAACTGTGGGAACTGGCGTCCACGTGGATTACAGCGTCGTAGCTATTCCGGACGTGGAATGGTGCGCCATTAAATTTGTCAAACTCCTCGAGCCAGAATTGCAACTCCTCCGCCACAGGTGGGGAAATGCTCACACTGCTTCCCCAGGACGGCGCGTCGTTGATCGTTTGTAGCATGGCGTGGCTGAACGCGCGAGTCGTAGCACCTAGCGCGACAGCCATTGACGCGAGCGTGCCCGTGATTCTGGCGAGGTGGCGGACTGGAACCTGTCGACGTGCTTTGCTTGCGCTCAATAGATTCTGAATGTGTGCATGAAGTGATGCTCGTCGATCGGTGCCAATAGAGAATTGTCCCAAGTTGGTATCCAGCTCGACGCCCAAGAATCGCAGCTGTTGTGACGGGGACAACTGTGATTTTTTCGCGTTGATCACCAAACCTGCCATCTTGAGGTCCGAGATTATCATCTGGCATGTTGCCTGTGCATGTGCCTTGGACGTGCATAAGAACAAGATGTCGTCCACGTAGGGAACAACTCGAATGCCTTGTTCGCGCCAGCGCCTGGCTAATTGTTTGATGAGTTGTGTGAAGACAAACGGTGCTGTTGCGAGGCCGAAGGGCAGTGAGCGAAAGGAGTACGTGCGCCCCTCAAATTCGAAGCCGAGGAATTTCCAGCAAGAGTGGTGTATGTCGACATGATGGTATCCGGATTTTAGGTCGATGGAGAACATCCAGTCTCCTATGCGCGCCAAGTCGGCGACGCGGCTCAATCCCTCGTATTTGAATTTCGGAATGATCAGGTGCTCGTTCACTTTCCGAAGGTCGAGAATAAGCCTGCATTTGTCACGTTGCTCGACCACGTTGAGAGGGCTGATGCATGTAAGCTCCGCTGCCGGGGTAACGACCGCCGCTCCGGTCTCCGTCAGTTCGCGAATGGCCGTGCGCGTGAATGCCGCGTGTGTGTGTGCGCCGAGATGGTTGCGTTCGTGAAACGGTTGTGGAGGGTTGTGTCTCCATGGTAGCCAGTAGCCATTGGCGATGACCGAGAGGATGAGGCTACTTGGGCACCACGAGCTCCACCATACAAGGGTTGCGCGAAGCCTCCCGCGCATTCGCGTGACGGTCTTGTCTGTGACGGCGAATTCGTACGGATCATCGTCGTCTAACATCTCCTCGCTTGTTGCCTCTGCATGTTTGCGGAGTGACAATGGGGCAGGATTGCAGATTGAGGTTCTTATGGATATGATACACATCCTTCGTGTGTGAAGGGTAGGTGCATGCGATGGGTGTATGCGCATTGACCCATTCGAATAATCATTTGTCGGCAATTACATCCGCATCGTACGCCCTCGTTTTTTTTTTTTTTTTTTTTTTTTTTTTGGCATCCCTCAACCAAAGAGCGGGTGTGAGTCTTCCCGCACGGTCATGTGATCACGAGTTGTTTTTTTTTTTTTTTTCATGCCTCGTGCCTTCCATTCGACTCTCCTCCCTCTCCCTCTCCTTGTTTATCTTTGCTTGCTCTCTCTCTCTCTCTCTCTCTCCTCTCTCTCTCTCTCTCTCTCTCTCTCTCTCTCTCTCTCTCTCTCTCTCTCTCTCTCGCTCTCTCTCTCTCTCTCTCTCTCTCTCTCTCTCTCTCTCTCTCTCTCTCTCTCCCCCTCTCTCTCCCTCTTTTTCTCTCTCACACACACGTGCGCACACACACAAATTCTCCTTTGTTCTTGCTCTTGCTCACCCTTTAGTCGGGTCATGCTTCTTGGCCCTTTGGCCAAAGCAATGGTTGCACGTCCGATGAGTGCAAAGGTCATTGATTGGGGTCATATGGTAAGTGTCATTGCCATTCTTTGCTCCGCCCTCTCTCCTTGTCTCTTCTTCTTCCGCTTATTCTCTCTTTCCTCCCCCCCCTTTGCTTTATTTATTTTTTTTTTTTTGTCACACCATGAGCCAAGTCAAAAAATGCTTCTTTAATAAATCCGCCCGTATATAAACCGGGCCATACATTGCCATGCTCCTAGCATGCCTTCGCCCCTACCGCATGGGCTACTACCAATGGGCCAAGAGGTTTTTGCTCCCTCCCCCTCATCCTAGGCCTCTAGCCTATTAATCACCCCTAACTAGGGCTGGCCAACCGCCACCGCTAACCCCTTTGGGTTGCCCACGGTCTTTGCACATGACGTGCACCGTGCCATGCGCACAAGGCGTCATCGCTCAAGGCCCGCCCCTACACCACGGGTGCGGGTCCTTGGCCACCGTTTCCGTTTCTCGGGCAGCCACTTGCCATGTGACCCGGCTGGCCACAACGGAAGCACGCCCCACGGAAGCCATGGAAGCCACCCGTGGGCGGCGGTCCCCGCTTTGGGGTGTATGAAGTCGGCCCGTGCCCTCCATCGCGGTGGGAACGAGCGTACGCGCCTTCCGCGCGATCCATAGCTGCCACGTCAGCCAACGCCTGCTTGAACGGGCGGGAGGTGAGGAGACTCTTCTGCTGGTAGAGCTTGAATCGCTTCGCCACGCGGTCGTCGGTGTGGTCCTCGACTTGGAACATCACGAAGCGCTCCGAAATATAGTCGAGGGCGTTGACGACCATTTCGAGTCCGCCCGCCGTGTCGTCGTGCTGCAGCTTGTACTCCGCGTGTTTCAGGTAGGCCCTCACGTCCTCCAGGGGCTCCGCTTTCGCGCGCACGATTGTCTTCATGAAGTTTGCGGCCGAGAAGGTGGGGGTGGTGGAAGGAAGGGGGGGGAGATTTTCCATGGATGTAAAATTTGTTGCGTTGATTGGAGCCTCACCAGCGCCGTCGTCTGAGTCGTCGGAGTCCTGATTGTCGGCTGCGGCTTCGGGAATGCCGGTGGCTGCTTCTTTGTTGTGACGGCGTGTGGGCGCTCCTTTTGCTCCCTTCTCCTTTTTCGAATTTTCGTTTTTAGCCGAAATCGATGCTGCCGGTTGTGTAGTTTCGGCTTCAATGACGCTGGCGGGTCGCTGCTGTAACAGGGACAGAAGCGCTTTGACTTGGTCCGGGGTCAACGCCCCGGTCAAGTCAGGGTCCACGGTCGCGTCAGACGAGGCGGCCGTCCTGCGCCTCTGGCGCTGACGCGACTGCCTGAGGGGCGCGTGTGCCTCAGGCGCGTGCTCCGCGTCAGCAGCGTGTGGCGCCACGTTCGCCACAGGTGCCACAGGCGCCACTGGCGCAACAGGCGCCACAGGCGCCACAGGCGCCGAAGGGTGCTGCTGGTGCCGCTCGGCGTTTTTGTTGACCTCGAGCCCGCCCAGCAGCACGTCGACGGCAGTAGGGGCGGACGTTTCGCCGTCTGCCCGGCGCTTGTTGCGGCGTTCGCCCGACGTTTCCCGGGCATTGCGATCGTTGTCGGAATTAATCGGGTCGTTGACGACGGTGTTGTTCGCGCGGTTAAGTGTCGGCGTAGCAGCCATCGTCGTGGCGTTGTGGTTGAGAATGTCGGCTAATAATGTTGAAGGTGAAACGCCTCTCGGTAGAGAGCGGGTTCTAGCCAGCTTGAACGGAAAACTAAAAATGAGCTCGAGGAACTGAGAGTTGCATGAGCCGTTTGAAAAATGAGAGACGTGGGTGGAGGGAAATGAACTCCAACCCACGATTTGTAGTTGGAGATGGGCGTTTAGCGCGCTTCGACGATGCCAAATTCCCGTTACAGTCAGCTGCGCTTTCGAAATACGTAATTTTAAAAAACACTATGTGTGTTTAAAATTATCATGTTAGGTTTGTGTAGGCTGTAGTGGGGTAGCACATATAGGGTACAACTCAAAGTTAGGGTTAATACTTGTACCCATGTTTCTATCAATCCAATCATTCCTGCCTGTAGTTTTCGACATAAATTAATAACGAGGTTGTTCTAGGAAGAACGAGGACTTGGCAGATCTTATAATCCACTCTCGCCTTCATACCATGCTGATGTAACCAGAGGATCAAGTAGATAGGATAAGATCTGTTAAGTCTGAGAGGAGACAATGAAGTCTCTGTAGTGACCTTGTTGAATAATAATTGAAAGAGAACAAGATGATTAAAAGATAGGAGTACAAGAGATTAAATAGCAAACTAGCTAGCCATGTACTCTGAGGGATGCATTCCCTTATTAACTGTATTACATAGCTACAGTAACCGCGACTATTGCCATGCTCGACGGTTACCATGTTGCTGCGAACAACTGTCGCTCGGTCACTGGACGGTCAAGGGTCACGACCGTTGACTACCCTCGACGGTTGACCTTCGGGTGACCCTCGACCTTCCGCATGCTCTATATGAGCTATTTCGGTACTGTTACAGTGGAATACCTTCGGGAATGCTTATATAACCTTTCGGTTATTCCAACACAAATTGGGCTTTATTGGCCCTCCGGTTTTAAGAACAATCCCGTGTTCACAATTTTCAGTGACAGCGGGAAGAGGCCTCGAAACGCGGCAGCAGCTTCGACGGGGGATGGGGAGCACCTCACCTACTGAAGCGTCATAAGCATGAATCATGCCGTGAGCCTTTGAAGAAAGCAGATATAAGGTTGAAAATATACTCACTGTTACCTTTATCGCTAGCCTCTAGTAAGATAATGAAATACACTATAAGGGGGTGTCCAGCGCGTACATTTTCCGTACAGTTCAGTTCATCGAGTGCGGTAATCTGTAATGCGTCACGGTTCAACACGGTGCAATGTTAAAACCGCTGTGCACCGTCTGATATCTTTTCAAACCACGACAAATGAACTGTATAGTACCTGTAAATGTACGCGCTGGACCCCCCCTAATGTAAACATCCAATTTTGCTTGACTGCCCAACGCGATCCCCGACCGCGCCCTGCAACATAAAGGGGGCGTATTCACTTTGTTGACACGGCAATAAGCGAAATGGTTACACATTGCTCAACCAATTGGTAGCCTGCTGGAGTGATTTCTAGCCCCCCTATCCACCCGAAATCGTGAAACGTTCCTGCCGAAGACCACCTCATCGTCCTTTAGTGAGTGATTGCGTTTCATAAAAAACCAGTCGTTTGACTCCCCCACCGCATTCCACGCTCCCTTAGCGACCTCCTCCCCCGCCAGCCACACAACCGCGTTCCAAAGCCTTACTCGCCTCGCAGCGGCGTGGTAGCGTCGAGCGCGCACTTCAAATAGCCAGCCCACAGCAGCCATGGAGCCTCGTCAAGTGCCGCTTCTGTGCCATAACCCCCTGTTGTGCCATCTCGCCGTCGCTCTCTCTGCGAGACTATCTCCGCCGCGCCTCTCCGCTGCGCCGATCGGTTTTCCGCTCCGCTCGCCACGATGGGCGGCTTTCCGGCGCTGCTCGCGCTGCTCGCGCTCGCCCTCATTCTCGGTCAGTCCACCCGCCGTGCCGCCCCGCGAATGCTGCCCTGTGCGCATGGCAGTGTGCTTTCGTCGGTCCTTCGTTTATTTTGTGCCCACCGCCCACCATTTCTCGCCTTCACACTCGCCTGCACTGGCAGTGTGTCCGCACTGAAGCGCGTTCTCCCCGTCACTCCTCACGCTCGAAAGCGGCATTCTGCCTCTCACGCTACCGAACTCGACTGGAGGATGCCCGGAATGCGGACCGACCAGAGCAGACCACACCAGCCAACTCTCCGCCCTTCTCTGTTCCCCTTTCGTCCCTTCTCGCCCTCCGCTGCAGCGAGTGACGTCATCCGCGCGGCGTCCGGTCAAGTCATGTTTCCAATGCCCGCGCCGCTGGCGCCGGTGGCGACGCGGATCACGGTCACGTCTCCGCCCAGCACCTTCGCGTCCAACTTCTCCGCGGCGCGCTGCACCAACCTGCCGCGCACCGCTTACAGCGTCTCCGTGCAGTGGACGTCCGCTGCCGCGCCCAATCTCCCCGCGTGCGCCAACATCACCTTCTGGAGCGGCGCGGGTTGCACCGGCACCTCCTCGCTCTCCCTCAAGCCCGCCAGGTCAGCGTCGCGCCTGTGCCGTGGGGTGGGGTGGGGTACAGTGCGGTCGAGTTTGATTTGACTTATGTGTTGGCGTCGAACCAAAGCTGGTTGCCTGGAATCGTATGATAAAACGGTATGAGATTTAAGCTTTATACGAGGCAGCGTGATTTTTTCCATGGTGGCTCAACCAGAATCTCTTTTCTCGCGTGCTTCCTGTGCCTCCCCTCCCTCTCCAGCCTGACCACTAGCACCACCAATTCCAGTCTCCTCTATCCGTATCCAGTTTCGGCTCGCTGCTTTATCGGTACGCCCCTTGTCGCCCTTCCTGTACACGCCCAGTCGGTAGAATGCCTGTCGCTGCGCAGCAATCCCGGTGATTTAATACCAGATGCCTCATCCGCGTGCCTGTACGTCACGTGCCCTGCCATTGGCACCCCCACGCCAGCCACGGACACCAAAGGCGTGGCCTGCGCTGCAGGGCATGCCCAAGGCACGTATCTATAAGCGGTGCAGCAAGAGCTTGCCACTGTATGACAGGTGCCCTCCCTCCGCCACAGCAGCTTCACTCGCTGCCTCGTGCCTCACGAGCCGCGAGTCCTCCTCTCACGAATGGACCTTGTATTAAATATAGTGGTCGAAAGGGGACTCTCTCTCTCTTACCCAATTGACCCCCCTGCATGTTGCTCTGCCCGCGCCTTCACTGCATCGCGTCACCTGGCGTCACCCCGGTTGCACCAGCCGGAGACCCGGTGGACCGAAGTGCGGGGTGGCCCACGGAGGTGGAGGCGAGGGTGGCAGTGACGACGGCGGTGAAGGTGGGCCGCTACAACTTCTCCTTCGACCCCTACTCGCGCTGCTCCCGCCTGCCCGACGCCACGGCGCCCGCCGGCGTGAGCACGGTGGCGAGCGTGCAGTGGGGCAGCGCCAGCAGCTTGCCGGGCGGTGGGGCCAGTGGGCCGTGCTCCCGGGTGTCGTTCTTCCTGGGCACCACCTGCAACGGCGCCGTCATGCAGCACATCTACTCCTTCTCCAGGTCCGTGCTCGTGCAAGGCAGTGCTGTGGAATATAAGTCGGTGATGTATATGGGGCAAGGCAGGGCAAAGGGTGGGGGATGGGAGGAGGGGAGTGGTGGGAGGGAGAGGATGGCACTGGTGGCGTTGAACGGAGTGAAATTAGATGGGATCAGAAAAGGCGGGCACCAGCTGCAACGGCGCCGTCATGCAGCACATCTACTACTTCTCCAGGTCCGTGCGCGTGCCAGGCAGTGCTAGGCAGTGCCGTGGATCTGGGTGGACGATGCGTGTGGGGCAAGGTTGGGCACGGGTGGGGGATGGGAGGAGGGAAAAGAGAAGGGATTAGGGTGAGTGGTGGGAGGGTGAGGATGGCATGGGTGGGGTTGAACGGGGTGAAATCCGATGGGATCAGAGAAGGCGGGACCATGGCTCAAAGCTGTGTGTTTTGCCTTGTGTTCTCTTCTTCCCCCGAGCAGCAACACCGCGACCTTCACATCATCCCAAGCACTCGCGTCAGTTGTCTGCGGAATCCGTACGCCCCTTGCTGCCTTTCACCCCTTGCTGCCTTTCACCCCTTGCTGCCTTTCACCCCTTGCTGCCTTTCACCCCTTGCTGCCTTTCACCCCTTGCTGCCTTTCACCCCTTGCTGCCTTTCACCCCTTGCTGCCTTTCACCCCTTGCTGCCTTTCACCACTTGGTGCATTGAACCTGTTTTACTTGGCCCATGGGTTTTAAAAAATCAGCTCCTGAGAATGTGCTCGTGCCATGTGCAGCGTCCTCCACGGTGTGCAAGTACACCACATGCTCTGCCAACTCCGTGTGATGGGAGACCAGCGACTTCGACAACAGGGCAGCCACCTGCCGCTGCAAGGACGGCTATGCTGTCATCAACGGCACCTGCCAAGGTACCGTGCTGTGCTCGCGTGCACGGCTGTGGTTGCCAAGGTGCAAAAGGACTGTGCTCGCCAAAAAACTCATTATGGGCCGATGTTTTTCTCGCAACTACGAGTGGTTCTGAGGAGAGGAGCATGCATGATTCTATTGGCTTTTCCAAAGCTGGCCCGTTGTGCGGCTATGGATGTATGATTCTATCGGTCGCTTACAGTACATTCCGGCGATCTTTTCCCTCTTCTTTTGCCCAAACTCCCTTCCACTGCAGACAAGTGCAATCTGTACTGTGTGCCCAACGCGAGTTGTGTGAGGGATGCGAGCATGGTCCCGGATTGTGTGTGCAACAAGGGCTTTCAGTATGCTCCTAACAGCAACACCTGCGTTGGTGAGTTGCGTGTCGTGTAACCGACACTCCCCGGCACGTGAGTTCAAACAAGTGCAATCTGTAACCACTGAATGCTTTCTTTCTTGCTAAGCATCCCCTTATGCATCCATCCCAAACACGCTATTCTTGCTTGCTTCTATGGCCCCTCCCTTCCATGGCAGATAAATGTACTTTGGTGAACTGTGGCCCCAACGGCAAGTGCATCAAGGATGCGAATGGAACTCCCACCTGTGCTTGCAACGCTGGCTTCCAGATGCCTCCCGACAGGATCACTTGCGTTGGTGAGTTGCACGCACTGGCACCTGGAGCGAGTGGTTGATTGGCCTGGGGTGCATGCATGCATCTGCTCTGCAAGCACTGTTACATTTCCCTGGTTCGTTCGGCCTGCCTCGTGTTTCCTGTGCTCTTGCTGCATCTTGCAACCTGCAGCGAGTGATTCCGTTCTTAGCCCATGTAGCGTGCCTCATTCTCACGTGCGATTATTTTCTCCTCCTACCGTCTCCATTCCAATCTTGCTCGATCTCACCTCTATTGCTCGTCCCCTAATCCGCATGCATTGCAGACAAGTGCGAGTTTGTGACGTGCAAGGCCAACTCAACGTGCGTCAAGGATGCCAACGGGAATACAACTTGCGAGTGCATCAAGGGCTTCGAGAGGCTTTCGGGCAACGACACTTGCGTTGGTGAGTTGTGCTTGTTGAGTTGCTGCACTTGCTCACTCGTCCCGAGTGTCCTTCTAACAAGAAAAAGGCGTGGTGGAAGTGGCATGTTACGCTGGCCTACACCCAAGAAGTGGGGATAGTGGCATTGTGATTAATGGGGGGTTAACGGTATGGTATTAAGCGTGAGAGTCACATCACTGATCGCGTGCATGCTTGGGAGATTCGATCTGCCGTCAGCAGGCATGACACTCACGATGCATCACTACATAAACCCATTGCTGTCAAACCTCATTATTTCCCTGTATGTGTGCAGACAAGTGTGAATCAGTGGATTGTGGGACCGGCGGCAAGTGCAGGACGGATGCAGATGGAAATCCGGAATGTACTTGCTTCACCGGCTTCACGCAGCAGTATGATGGCACTTGCATCGGTGAGCTCAGTTGACTGCCTTCCACTCCACTTGCTCCACTTGACCGGTCATCCAGCCGGGGAATACATCAAAAGAAAGTGGTGCAAGTAGCATGTCGCAATGACGTCCAGCCAAGATGTAGGACAGCGACAGTGTGAATCGGCATCAATGGTCGCGTGAATGCTTGGCAGCTTCTAAATCCGACACCAAGATGCTCACGTTGCGTACCTCTCATTCCATGCTTGTCGTAACTCTTCCTTGTCATGTATCCATGCTTGTCAATACTCATCATTCTCCTCTATGTATGTACCCTGTCATTCTTTTATTATGTGTTTCCTTTTTGTTGCAGACAACTGTGATTTGGCTGGTTTCTACTGTGAGCCCGGCTCATGCAAGAAGGATACGAAGGGAAATCCGTATTGTGAATGCGGCCCAGGCTACAGACTGTCTGCTGAGGGGCGCTTTTGCATTGGTGGGTTGGAGGAGTGCAAGCGGTTGCATGTTGCGTTCTCCACCTGCCCTGGCAGTTGCTCGGCTGTGAGCTTGAGTTTGTAGCTGAGCGGGTTTCTCTTGCCCCTTCCTTGATTCCGCCTCTCCTCTTCAAGGTTGCAAGCCGAATCAACTTTGTATCTGAAATGGAGATCTTTCTCTCGCCTTGGTTTTCTTTCCTGCAGACATTTGTGACGCAGTGGATTGTGGCGAAGGCACGTGCGTGAAGAGATTTGATGAGGAGGGCAACGGACATGCAGAATGCGATTGCCCCGTGGGCTACCAAGTGGATGGGAGTGGGCGCTGCACTGGTGAGTTGAAAGGTCTCTCTTCGAGACTGGCCTCGAGGCCACGAGTTGGTGGAACCTGGAGCCTCTACAGATTGGCTACTCCTCACCTGAGCTGCTGTTCCACCTGGTTTTCTGTCAGTGCTTTGACCAAATTGTTTCCTTCTCTTGCATTTAACTCCTTTCCACTGCAGACATATGCAATGTGGTATGTCCGGCCAGCCAAACATGCAGGAGGAACGGGGACTACATCTCGTATTGTACCGAATGGGGTGAGTTCCATGCTAGACTTGTATAGCATGTGAGCTCACACCCCAGTTTCCACAATGATGAATGTGCCAATGAGCTCTGTTTAAACTCTTCTCAGCTCAGCTTCACGCTCTGGCTTGGACGCTGTAAAGTGTGAATGGAACTGCAGTTCTTGCCACGGACATGTGGTGGAAAGAGTTGAAGTGCATGAATGCATCCACAACCACTTCAATGGTTCGCGCAGCCTACCTCTTGTTTCATGTGCGCTTGTTGCAGCCTACCTCTTGTTTCATGTGCGCTTGTTGCAGCCTACCTCTTGTTTCATGTGCGCTTGTTGCAGCCTACCTCTAGTTTCATGTGCGCTTGTTGCAGCCTACCTCTTGTTTCATGTGCGCTTGTTGCAGCCTACCTCTTGTTTCATGTGCGCTTGTTGCAGCCTACCTCTTGTTTCATGTGCGCTTGTTGCAGCCTACCTCTAGTTTCATGTGCGCTTGTTGCAGCCTACCTCTTGTTTCATGTGCGCTCTTGTTGCAGCCTGCAGCAGTGAAGGTTGCAACCTCATGGTTGTCATCATTCCCTTTACTTTTTGGGTTGCGAAGCAACCCTTTACGATCGATTTTGCCAGATTTTATTTTCATAATTTCAACTACCACATGAAACAACACAATCTGTGAAGTCTAAAAACGAGATCAACCTACCAAATCCAGTTCAAGTGAGCGTACCCGTTCGAGTGTAACTCAATGAACCTTTGGGAAATGATAGAACTGATTCTCATTTCTAAAAACCACAGACATGCATTGTTAATGAAATAACAGATGGATAATGATATGGTAGATGAATGCCACACATACGGACACATACGCACGCAATCAAACGAACACACGCACGCACAGAAGCTCGGAACAAGCCAATGCAAAAAGAACTTACGAAGAAGAAAAAAAAAACACAGAAGATGCAAAAGATCACTAACAAACAATACAACACAATTAGGCCTAATCGCCACAAATGTGATCGTTCCTCCTTTAAAAAGGACCTTCAATTCCCGAATGGTACAGCAAAGCCTCTGAAAAAGTAGGAAATAGGAAAACGAAAGGGGGGAAATGGGGAATAGAAGTTGAGAGGATATAGATGGCGAATTTGAAAAAAAAAAAAAAAAAAAAAAAAAAAACACAAGCTGGCTTTCTGAACACAAATAGCAGGGAATTAGAGTTAACGGAAAAGAAGAAAGAGAAAAAAGGAAAGAAAAGTCCAAAGAGCTACACGTAGGTAAGAATGGAAAAGTACAGAACAAAGGAAGAAGAGAGAGAGAGAGAGC